CAACTCTCCCCCACTTTCTTTACTCCCTCCTTTTCCTCTACTCTTTTTTTTTTTTTCTCTTATCACCATCAGATCATGGGGGTTTTGCAGAAGAGAATGTGCAGCTCTGAATGCAAGGATCCAGACAATGCTTCATTTCCCAGGGGGAGCTTGGGCTTTTCACGTTTGGTTCCTGTCCACTTTAGCAAGTGTAGACAATTAGATATGGCATTTATCATTAATTCTGCCCAAGCTAGGGCTGAAAGGGAAACTGAGCTGCATGAACGTTGTGATTTCAGTTCCTGCTCATTAGTACGTCTACAAATTGTTTTTCAGTTGTGTTCTCAGTTCCTCCTGCACGGAGGGAGAGGGGCAAGACCTGTGTGTGTGTGCGTGCGCTGTATTTTGCCCGATGCCCAAGACAGTAAAGGACTGTGAGCGGTGGAGGGGGAGATGGGAGCTATTAGGTACTATAGAAATACAAACTACTAATCATGCTTGACTGAAAAACAAAGCAATCTCAGGGCACATCCTTGTAACAGCGGTCACCCTAAGCCCAGGGATGATGCGTTGGTGGGCTTTGGGGGTCAGTGTTACTTGAAAACGTAAAGCTAAACAGAGGCTGCTAAGCGTTAACTGGTTTGCAGTCATTTTTCTCAATACCGTTGCAGAAGAGAGAGCAAAGGTGGGGGAGCATCTCTGATTTTTTACCTGCCTAAGAAAATGAGATGTTTGTGCCCTCCTGGAGAAGAAATCAGACTTGAAAGTAGAAGAGTCAAAAAGAGTTAATTGCAGTGATTTGTAATGGCTCTGTTTGTACTGCCCTGGAAAGGTTAAGAATGTCCTGGACAGTATTCTGGAGATGCTTCCTGAGGAGTTTAATAGGGCAGAAATCATGCAGACGACTACTGCCTGGAGCCCCTATGCCCTTGTTTGCCTTCAAGAGTGTGAGAGGATGAGCCTTTCAGAGATCTGTAGGTGTCTTAAACAGCTGGACCTCAGTCTGACGGCAAGTGACTTTTTTATTAACAGTGCAGTTGCTCTTCTATGTATTTTGGGGCTTTCTGTTGCTTTTTTAGAAATGGAAGAATAGCTATTCTTTATGATGCCAGTATGCTTTTTATTGTTCTCCAAACAAAGGGGGAGTTGATGTTTTCTCCTCACATGGAAGTGCTGCAGTCCGCGCTCTTCTGTGATGCTGTGCCAGACACATGGACTAAACTAGCACATCCGTCCACATAGGGCCTTGCCCCCTGCTAAGTATGCCACTGTAATAGGGCTTAGCTACTATGGACAGAGCTATTCCAGTCATCTGAAACCAGCAGCTTTGTTTCATTTATTTTTTTTGTTCAAAATTTGTCTTAATGTAAGTACGTCAGTTTTACTTCTAATTGAGTTTTGCAGAAACGCTGAGCACTTTGCTAAAGCAAGGCTTCATCACCTCCCTTGTCACAAGTCCTGGGGGTGTTCGGCATCTTTCAGGATTCCTTTTCCCCTACCCTGCCACCAGCAATGGCCACTTGCAGGCTGCTAGATATGGAAAAAATAGGCAGTGTTTTGGGGAAATTCCTCTGATACCTCATGGCAATGTGTGCTGCAGTATGCCATTATTGAGGGTTTCTGTCAGACTCTTGTGCTCCTGATTTGTACTTTGCTCTGGCCTATTGGAAGCTTAAACACACCACTGAAGATGGTTAACAGAAGTTTCATCAGGAGTTGGACTAAAATGTTGTGATCCTATGAAAAAAACCGAGGAAGTTCAGGAATGGTGGTGGATTGTTGGTATTAGTCCAGTGTGACTTTAGATTTCTTACCAGCTTGGTGTCCTAATCACTGACTAATCACTTCATGCATTTAAAACTGAGACTGAACAAGGTCTGCATTGTAGTAAACCAGCAGCTCTAATCTAGTTGATGTTCAGAAGTTTAAAACTATTCCAGAGACTTTAAATTTCACCCTGGTACTTATCACCTAGAGGTGTTCTGCAGCTCTGAGAGGTGCAGAATAGGGTTGGTAGTTACCAGATGTTGGTAACCTGGATCAAAGCAACTACACAGCTGCAGTTAAAAAAAACCCAACCAAACAAAACAACACAACAAAAAAAAAGCCCCAAACCAAACAAAAAACCCAACAGAAAAGCTATTTTCAAAACCATCTTTATCCTGTTTTTTCTTCCACCTTGGCAGAAAGTTGTTGGTTCTAAATAAACAGATCTAAAGAACTCTGAATTTTTAATTTCCTAGGCTATAATACTTACAGGCCGTTGGGGAGAGACAGGAAGAAGCAAGGAAATACTTGAGAACCCCTGTATTAATTAGCATGAGGTATAATGACGCACCTAAGTGGGTGATGTGTAAGTATGACACGAGTAGATTTTTTCATCTGGGTTTCCAAGCAGTCAATTATTGCTGTAGCTGTAATATGGTTGTAGACTGTCCCCAAATGGAAATTGTGTTCATCTGCTGAGCTGCAACCCCACTTTTAACAACTTTCAGAGGATAAACTCTGTACCTTGCTCTTTTGGAATTGTATTTTCCTGTGACTGAAGCATCTAGTTTAGGAATGACAATTAGGGCCCGCCATCAAAATGAGATTTTAGTTTTAACTTAGAAAGGCGGTCAACTAAGTTCTAGCTAATTAGAGGAAAGGAGAATGACTCCAACAGACAATTAGAGAAACATTGTCATTGTTCGTACTCTTCACTAGAGCTGAATATAATAAAAGGAAAGGAACTCTTTTGGAAGGGAGGTGCTGCTACAGCAGGTAAGCCCCAAGGGGGAAGTCAGGGTGAGGGACTGGAGCAATGATGAGCGTGCCAGCCAGCTGTTGCTTTTTGAAAAGGTAGCCTGAATTTTTCAGAGGATCTTTTTTAAAACATCTGTCGTTCAAAGGGCAATACTGTTCGTTCCTCCCCTGGATATGAGGAAGGTACTGAAGAACCCTGTGAGCTGCAGTTGCTGTGTTTCTGTGTTTGTGCTGGTGTTGCTACATAAACACTCCTAAAATTCACAAGCAGCTGCAACATTTTATGTGCTGGTTTATGTTAGAAGAACACACAACAAACTTCACAAACCCAGCAGCTTTCAGAAAGTGCATGGCCCTTCAGCAGCACAGAACTTGTCTGTCTTACCTACACCGAGATACCTGTTTGATATCTCACTACACAAACATATGCTAAATACTCCAGTGTAGTTCTCTAGCTTTTGGAATACTTTGCCATAAGCTAGTGGACAATTCGGAGCACTTGACTTTGACAGGCACATTCAGTCATGGGCATACTCAAAAGTCCCAACTGTAAGTAGTTTCCAGTCCCTGCTTTCAATAAAAGGGTATGAGGATGAAACCAGAAGTCCAGCCCAGGCAGATGCTACGTACTCATCTCCATATTCATACAAAGAGATGATGCACAATAGGCCAACAGCAGCCTACACTAAATCTGTATGTTCAAATGTAGCTTGAAGTATTTAGCAATAAGCAACTGTTTAAACCCAAATTATTCTGGTCTATTCACCACAGAGCAACATGTAAACCATGTGCCTGCATTTACTGCAAGTGCCAGGTGGGACATGCAGCTGGGGACCAAAGCTGAAGCCCAGTTCAAGGAATTGACTCCAGCGACGCCCATCATTTTTGTAAGGGCTAGTCCAGTGGATTGAAGGGAAACTAAGACTGTTTATGACTGTCCAGTTTATAAAACCAAAAGCAGAGTGCCACCTTACATTCGGACTTTCAATCTGAAGGGCCAGGAGAAGCCAGCTAAATGGGTTCCAGCAGGAGTAGCTTTACTCTTGGCAGTTTAGTACTAAGCTTTCACTAGTATGTGCTGCTTTCTCAATCTGCCTTGTAGTTAAAGCAAAAGGAGATGAGATAAATATTTTTCAGCTGGAGCAGATTATTTGCCTCACAAAACCACAATGTGTAATGTAACACGTGTTCTATGTTATTATTTCCTCATGGGTCAGTGTCGTGTTCGTGTTTCTCCACATAACAATTATTGATCTGCAAGCGTTCCTTCATTACACCAGCTATGGGAAAGTAAATGGGAAACATCAGCATCTGGGTGTAGTTTGACTCACAGAACTCTTTATTCTCTCTACATAAAATGGAACACGTATCTTACAAGAATTTTAACATAATCGTACTGCAATACAAACATGTTGCATTTAAACAAAGTTGTTTGAAAGCTTAGTTGTACATATGAAAACACGTCTAAGTATGAACTGTATGTAAAAAAAGTAATCCTGAACTTTGTGATTTAAACCAGTTAACCAGGTATGACTGCTGTAAGGTAGTTGGTTCAGGCAAGCAGGTGCATCACACAAAAACTGCTAATGAGCAATCCTTTTTCTTTCTTGGGATGGTGTTTAAAATTTCTTAAGTTTTTTTTCTTTCTTTTTTTTTTTTGTTTCTTTTTTTTACAAAACTCTCTTCCACTTTCATGTTTCAGTGATTAATTGCACTTTGGAATAAAAAAAAAAAATCATCCTCCTGCTGGTAGGTTGCATCAGCTTTGGCTGGAATATGATGGCATTCAGATGAAAGTACCCTCCCCTTCTTTGCAGAGGCAAGTTCCATAAACTACGTACAGGTGGAGGAATAGGTTTGGAAAGCAAGGGTTAGAAAACTGAATCTTTATGGTCAAGTTGGAACACAAGGGGTTTTCTGTTTCTTTAAAAACAGGGTATGCTTTACAGGTAGTTGTTAAACACTCCTTCTGCCAACTTGCACAATTATATAAATAAAAATATTGCTCTAATTGACCAAGTTCTTCATCGTGTGGTTGTGTAGCCCTATTAAAAATTAACCACTCAAGGTTCAAGAGTGCCATTTCACTTAACTATAGGTCTGTGCACGTAGATTTCTCTACCAAAACATTTTCCTGAGAGATCTTTTGCATAAGACCACATCAATCAAAAAGTTCCCAACACAGAAATTCACATACTATACTCTACAGTTCTATCTTATATAAAACATAGTAATAACCTTTTGAAGTCAAAATCTGTCAACATATTAACCAGTTGCAGGCACAGCTTGAGTTCAGTGTTCTCAATTGTCATCCGCCAGTTGCTTTTGTAAACTAGAAGACGTGAGAAAACAGTGTTAGCGCTTTTTAGGAAACTCAGGTTCCCCATAAACAGACAATTTCCATTGCTGACAATTACAGCTTCCAAAACAGCACTTCTATATGCTTGAAGCAATTAATACTGATTTCAAAATAGGGAAAAGCATTTCAACTTCTTAAGCAAATGAGTTGTTTACACAGACACTATGACTCACTTCAACAAAGCTGATTTCAACCTAGGAGAAATCTCAAGTCCAAGACACTTCTTTTGCATAGGTCCAGGATCTGCCCCAGGCCACAGAAGTAAGTATTATTTAAAGGGCTACAACAGTTTGAAAAAGAACTGCAGGGCACGACCCTCACCTTTCCAGGTACTCCTTGACGTTGTCATAGCCATAGAACTTGGCCAAGTGGATGAGCATGCCCGTGGCACAGCGCCCATCCCGCCGGCGGCAGTAGCTGCAGTTGCACACCCCACGACAAGGAGGACAGATCCAGGCCTGCAAGGGGGTGAAGGTGGGAGGTGGGAGGGGGTCAAAGACAAGCCATGAGTAAGGTTATATTTGCCTTCCCATTGGTCAGAAAGAGTATGGCTTCCTTACTGTGTGATCCTTCAGGGCAAGGTTTTAAAAGCCTGAATCAGCCAGCACACCAACCTTGTTAACTTTTAAAGAAATGATTAAGTACTACCCTGTTTGCTTGAATACTTCTTCCTCTGAAGATTCAGGGTCTCTGGTATTTTCAGTATTAATCTGAAATAGACCAAAGGCATCTGTAACGCCTAATGATAACTCATCCTATGTTAGGCTGACCATAGAGAACTGCCTAGAATCTAAAGATGGGTACCCGCTGCGTGAAGTGTCTTTGGTTCTGTCTGCTGGCATAGCCCAATTCCTGAGACTGAACCCCCACAGCATATACATGAAATCAGGCATCTCCCAGCTGCGCAGGTGCTAACAGCCTGCATTACAATACAGCAGCCACTGCCACACCAGGCCAGCACATTGGAGCCATTAGTTCTTCACTGCCCTTCAGAAGAGCCCAAAAGCCCATCTCTAAAGCAGGGGTGGGGAGAGGAGGTCCCAGAACAAGCTGAGCACAGAGCTATTCTGCCAAGAGGTCTTTGCGCAGCCACGTGCCTCATTCCCTGGCAGCAGCCTGTACTCTCTCCTTGCTCAGTGCTTCAGGGGACAACAGAGAAAAGGGAAACAACCCTAAGACTTTCAGGTATCCTTCTCCTTTTTTCTCATATTTAAAAATTAGAATCTAAAACAAGGAACCTGCTTTGCATGCCACATTACCTAGAGCATTAAAAAAACAAGGTAGATTTTGGCATTTTTCTGAAAGGAGACAGATTCCTTTTCTTAAAAGCTCTCGTGGTTTCCCTCCACTACCTGGTAAGCAAGTGGAGCTTCAAAGCACAAAGCTCGATGGATTGTAACCCAGATCCAGCACCTTCCACTTGAGCTCAAACAAGATCAGTGTCAGTCATAACAGTACTACAGATGTCATGGCAAAAATCTCAGAACACCACATTATCATGAGCTTATCACAGCTTACTAACAAAACTAACTCATCACAGCTTACAAACAAAATGGTGTTCATTACACTTTCACTCCAAGCCCAAGAAATTATACTTACTGGATCAAGCAGTGCTGATTTCACATCTTCCCCGTATCGATTTCGAAGACATGGTCCACAAAATTGTCCCCTTACTCCTCCACAGCCCTGGTTGCGACAGATTGTCTTTGTATCAATTGTCTTTTGTCGACACTGGTGGCAAGTACTACCCTAAAGTTGGAAAAGGGGAGAAATATCTATGTATGAAGCACATCTTAAATGCTTGCTGCTGAACTTCCCTAATATAGCTGCTGATAGCAAAGCACAAATTTCAAAACAAATTAAAATTCAGCAATGAAAAATCTTAGTAAGAACTGTAAGTTCTGTTGTTATGATAAATCATATAGTTATCTGGAGAGATGCTAGGGATTGTAGAGACAGTGCCCAACCTCAGTTGCACTGGGAGTCTCAAACTACATGAACCTCATGTCGCAGTTCTGATCCTTTCCTCTATCTAGGGAAAAGCTAAAACTATTCAGAAAATGACCTTCTGATTTATCTCTGCAAATACAATGAAGCATGAAATATATAGTAAGCTGATCATCTAGATCTTTATGGCAATAATAGCCAAATCCAGTGAAGGAAAGGAGGAGGAGTTCCATGAAGAGCTTTGGAAACTACCCAACCTGTACAGAAATGTTGTTTCCAGGGGGTACAAAGAGCAGCAGGGATCACTATTATTTAATGGTACAACCACTACCACATTTACAGTAAGTGAGAATGAGAGATAAAGGGGATGTCAACTCTCATCAGCGGTGAGTTACAGTTACAGCAAATTCCACTTAATAGCGCTATGGCAATAAAACATTTCTTTGTAAAAGCAAAAAGTTGGTGGGGCCTATCAACCAGCTTGGGCAAGCCCATGGAAGCCTGGTAAAGCTTCCAAGTCATATTTGTTCGATATAATAACGCAAAGCTGCACTCTCCAAAACCTTGGGAAAGCAGACCTTTTAGCAAACACCAGGTGAACTGTTAGGAGACTTTCCATTTCAAGCAAATGGACACACTAAAGAAAACAGCAGCCACTTACTAGAACTTTGTCATAGATTTTGTCTTTAACAGTGATTGCAATGTTGTCCAAGTCCTCCTCAGTAATATCTTCTACTGGACGATGAGATGAATACTTTGATGATCTCCTCCTTTTGCGCACTCCACAATCCCCCTGCTAAACAAACTCATCTCAACACTTTTTGCCTGGTGCCATGAAGACTCTGTCACCACACTTGGTGACAAATTCTTTCATTTATAATGTGTATGCAGCCTAGAGGACACAGACTACAGGCTCAAGGACCACTGGAAGAACAGGGCATAGAGTTTCCAAACCATCACCGCCTCTTTCTCTCCCTCTCCTCCCTAATCTTTACTCCATTAATTATTTATTGGTTTTACATGTTCTTCCTTCCCATCATTGCTACTTTTATTTCCACAAATTCCTGACATGTTTTTCTGCTACCTCCTTTTCTTTGCATTCCCCGCACACCTCCACTGTAATTCTTCATGCTCCATTTCTTCCCTCTCAAAATAAGGTACTATAACCATCTGCCTTCCCTTGCTTTGCTCCTTCAATATCCTAGCATGCTCTCCAACTGCTTTCTCCAATGACAATCTCTAATGTCCTGTAAAAAAACCTTTACTGACATTTTAGGCTAGTCCTGCCATACCCAGCCCTTTGTTATGATCCTTTTTGTTATTTGGAAGAGAGTCTTCTACTCACTATTAAGCACTCTTTTTTTCCTTCCAAATATCAACCTCTTAGAACCCAACCCATGGATCATCATTATGTCCCTCAGGAGATTTCAAATTTCATGTAAAAGTCTCAACTGATCCTTAGCCTTCCATCTACCCCACTCTTAATACTTAATTTGTCCTTCACCTGAGATCAGCTCTGTTCTCTCCAAAATAGTCTTCTACCACCCCAGGTTCTCACTCAGTGCTACTACACCTCGTTTAGTAGTCAAATTCCCTCTATAATGCTTCAAGCATGCCCAGCACCCATTCCTATAACCAGAACTGGTATCCAGCCTCTACCACGTACAGATACAAGTCTTAAGAGTCTTCCTCATAAAGGCTATACAGTAAATATAACTGAGACAAATGGCCACTATAAGCCACAGGAGGGAAAACCAGGAGATTTTAAAAACATGGGGAAGAATAAAAGCTGCAACTTTTGAATGGCTAGTCAGTACATCAGCAGTTTGTTGGTGCAGATTCCCCTTATTCATTCTCAGTTCAGCTACATAACTCCTTTCTATCTTCCGTCTGCTATTTCCAGAGAGGTGTTTTTGCTAACTTTTCCTGAGCCTGAAGATAGAGAAGACCTGCTTTGTCACCTCCACCAGACCCACCACCTAGTCTCTCAAAGGCCTTCTAAATAAATAATAGACCATAAGTAAACTGCCTTGTTAGGTTTCAGACAACGCAGGTCACAAACAGAGCCCAGTTAATGGGTGAAAGATGAGGCAGGAAGGCCTGAAGACAACTTCTGTAGCTAATCCCAAACCAAAGGTTCTCATTTACTTTCTGTAGGATGTATTGTCTGCTCGAAGTGTTGGCCAACAATTTAAGTGAATGTCTCCTAATCCTAACTACTAGAGATACCAAAGTCTGGCAAATACCACACTGAGTCTCTTCTTCAAGAGGTTTTGTTGTCTATAGCTACGGAAGTGTTCTGCAAATTTAACAGCTGACACAGTAAATTTTTCCAAGGCAAATTTCTCCGGTGGACGAGCATTTCTGGTTGGGTTCATGCGACGTGCTATCTGGCCTTCAGAAAACGTCCTCCTTGGGATTTTCCTCTGTTTCTGGAAAGAGAAGACAATTCCAGTAACTGTACTTTCATTTATGTTTGTAGTGTTAAACACCAGAAATTATCTAAAAATGTCTGTACCACACTTGTACTATCATGAATTAATACGTACTTCTCCCACTCTTTATTTAAGCCAAACCTCACCAATTTCTATCATGTTTGTGTTCTCCCTACATGCTACACCTTTTTGATCCTCTTAAAACACCACACTTACACAGTCAAATTCTATTCCAACTATCACAGAACTATACCATTTTTTTTGGTATGGCATACTAAGGTAGAAGCTAGTTCTCACTGTTCTTCAGCAGCTAAAGGTTCCTATAAATAGAATACATCTTCAAGGAATAATCTGAATTCTACTGTATTTTCTTTTGTATTTTTTAAATTGAAAGGGTGTTAATAAGTTTCTTATTTCCAGATTCCTAGATCTGGAAATTACTAGGAGGCACAAGATACCCTTTTCATATCATCACACCTACCAGTTACTGAATGGTTGAATTCATGCAACAGAACTTCTGCACAGACACCTACCATAAAGGCATCTACTCAATTTGACAGGACAAGATGTAGGAAGCAAGTCTACTTGCTACAGTACTCTTTAGTTATTTCCTTCTAAAGGAGTGAAAGGCACATCACAAGGAGACAGGCTGGAAATCAAAAACCAAGCAGAAGAGATAACTATAATATACCTGATGCCTTCCACCTCCTCAAGTAAAGATACTAAATAAAAGTAGCAGGCTTATGTATATATTCAAAGGATGTTTAAGTTTCTATAGCATTTAACTAGAGCTAGCAAGGTTCCAGCCTTTCAAAGACTATAATTTGGTTTCACCTCTTCACCTGACAACCACCACACCAACATTTCTACATGGGCTTCCCAAAGACACAGCCCTTCAATTTTTCCTCAAATCTCTCCAGTTTATAATATATGTAGAAAAACATCAGTCTATAGAGAACCTAGAAGGGTGGACAGTTCTCTGCTTCTAGCCAAGAAGTCAGTTGGAATAACTACAGAATCATTCCAAGTTCATGTTGAAGTGGATGAATTTCATCAGCATTGCTCTATTGGGAAGTGTGGATTTTAAAAGCCTGCAAGAGGGAAACTAACAGGATCTAAAGCCAAAGGGAAGCAACTACTCTTCCTTATTCCCACTTACACAGACATTTGTCTAGCATCTCAACAGTATTTCTGGGACAAAAATGATAACGAAGCATCTCCCCTTGGTCTCCGTATTTCTTCATTGATTATCTTATAAAATTCCATTTCCTCACACAACCTCTGGTACTTAAATACTGACCAGTAGAAAATCTATACAAATAAAGTGACCAAAACCAAAGAAAACCAGAACACAGTTGGTCAAAGTGTTTCATCAGGAAACACATTAATCCTAAATCTAGCAAAACCGACAGTCACCTCTAGACAGTACTGGGGACTTACCGAAGGAGTCGAGGCAGGCGTTTTCACTGGAAACAGGTCAGGTATGGAATTCAGTTCTGCCAGCAGCTGGTCCAGCTGAAATCAACAGTGACGCCACATTGAAAACTCACTGCAAACAAGCAATACCTATCATCTGCTCTCCACATGCACTCCAAATTATACCTAAACACATGAAGTTTCAGTGCATGAAACCTTACTGGAGGTGCTTTATTTAAGTGAGGCTCATAAAAGGGGTTGATTTACCCCTGAATGAGCAAAACTGCAGGCAGTACTAACTTCACAGCTCCCATTAATACTTACTGGGAATTAGAACTAGCTAGAATTACATCCAATCTTGTTGAAACAGCACTGATGAAGCACATTACAATACCTATGACCGATAATGAGAAATTCACAGTTCATATGACAGGAGGGAGAAAAGGAAGACTGGGTGCCCTTGGCCAGAAGACTGTAAGATGTTCCCTGTGGGCTATTTTACTGAATAACTGCCAATATACCTGTGCTTTTTGCCAGGGAACTCAGAGTGTCCCCTTAAGCAGTGACATTATAGCAGGGAAACTTTGCTCATCATTTTTCGGTGGTCCTTAGCAGTGATGACTTGGAACATCCCTTTTTCAATCATGACAGCTAGTGCCAATTTCACAAATGCTGCAAACCACAGCCAGTAATGCTGCACACCCACGCTCATTTGCAAAGTTGTAAAACAACTAAGCCCCGCTGGCGGTTCCCCTAACCACGGTGTATGCAGTATCAGAAGCACTTCAGGAGGACGACCTGTTGCACCGTGCAGGAGATGTCCTGGAGCTACATTTCAACAGAAGCAGTGGCTGACAGGTCCAAAAAAAAATACTGATCTGTTCTGGAAAGCCAGGATGAGGCTACCTTCTGAAAATCCATCAACAGCAGGGATGAGCCAGGCTGCTAGCTGCCTCTGAGACCACCATACCAATCATGAGATTAAAAGCTGGATACAGCATTTCTCAGTAAATACTTCAGTGTGGCCTTTATTAAGAGCTATTTAATGTCATTACAGCACTACAACTTAGGGTGCCAATGAATTTTGCCATGGTTGAACTAGAAGGAAGAGTGGAAGGTGAGAAGGGTGAAAGAGCACCAAGACCAACACAACAGCAGTGAGGATACAAGACAGATTAGAAACACAGGTACAAAACTAAAGTTTTTATGTGAGAGCTGCAGGCCCACACACCCAAGCGTTATATGTGAACCCCAAGTCTGCTTAGAAGCTGCAACTTTTCCTGGAATACAGTAAAGCTGAAGGAGCCACTGAGGACCCAATATCAACTCTGGTTGGCAAGGCAGTGTGATAATTACAGGTAGCTGGTGGCATTTTGGACAATAGAGGAAAAAGCATTAAGGAACGATCAGTACCTCTCTTTTCTGCACCTACACACACACGCACACACACTTTCAGTAGTTATATAGCAAAGCATAACTGTAAACATCACATCCCACACAATAGAAAAATTACATTTACCATCCTTAGCAGCTTTTAGCTGGCTTTCTAATAAGGAACTGCAGTAGGTCTATCAGCCACAAATGAAAATTGGAAACTCTAGATTGCAAATGACACCACGAATCACCTGAAGGGACCAGCTGGTTTTCTGGCATGTTCTGAATATAAGACTGCAACTTGGGCATCTGTAACTTTGTTCACATCCACATATAAAATGCCTGGTTCAATGCTGGTTTTGGACTTGAGCAGGCTAGGCCTAACCTGAGGCTATTTTAGGGGTAAACGTCTGAGTTCTGATGGTCCTCTAGGGTTTTCCCAGGTAGAAAAATTCAAACACAAACCACCATGACATCTTCCCAAAGTCCCAGCACAGCACCAACGGGGACACCAAAATTCAAGTGTGCTGAAGCTAAATACTTGGATGTAAATGTCAGAGAACAAAGCACTGCTCATAAGTCTTACCATGGCTTTATTTTCTTTAATATTCATGGCTCTCTTAAGCAGAGCACTGGAACTTTCCTCCTGTGTTTCTTTAATGTCGTCTTCAGACTCTGAAGCAGAGCCTTCTAGTTTGTCCCACCGCTTGCAGCTTATTTCTTTTGAAAGTGGTGTGAGGGATTCACTGTCCTTTAGAGGTAAGTTAGAAAAAGCCTGTTCAGGCACTTTTTTCTCAGACGACTTTCTGGTGGGAAACTGCAAGGCAACACGAAGGCCAAAGCTTCTTCTCTTGGGGGAAACTTTCTTCTTCGCCTCCTCCTCCTCTTCTTCCTCACTACCCAATAAATTATCACGTTCTTCATCACTCAAGTCCGACTCTGTTGCCTAGAGGCAGAAAGAATCCCATGTTACATTATTGGCTGTGACACAAGAAACGTCATTTTTAAATCACTAATTCAGTGATTCAGCAGTCTCGCCACCCAAAAGCACTGTCATAAATTCACCTAAATCAACAAATTTTTAAAAGGTCACAGCACACAACTTCTCCCTGTGCAAAGACCAACAAAAAAAAATCTACTCATTAATATTGCCTGGGATACAGACATGGGTGTCTTCAGAGAAACAATCTTGGCCAGCACAGTCAGTCTACAAGCAGGGGAAGAAGTTCTCATTTCTAATATGCGATGTTACATTAAACAAAGCTTTTTTTCTCTTTTGAGATAACACATACGTTTCTTCAGCATGAAAAAAGAACGCCATGGCATATCAGAAATGGTCCTACTAGAACGCGAGGTTTACAGAGAAGAGACAGAAAAAAAGAAGTCAACATATACATTCACGTGTAGGTGCCTTTACCAGAACTCCTTTCTTGTTCACATCCACCTCGCTTGAAGCAAAGCCTTCAAACGCTTCCGTTTCAGAGTCAGTCTCTTCAGTGAAAATCCTCCGCAGTTCTTCAGTGAGGTATCTGGACTGAAACTGAACCCCCTGTAAAAATACCGAGCAGCAGCTGTGAGAGACGGTCAGATACAGAGCAGTCACACAGTCACAATAAGCAGGTTCTGAGGTTCAAGCAGGTACCAACTCAATGGCATATACTGTGCAAGCACTTTGCAGGCAAAGCCTGCCAAAAGAAAAAAGCAGAAGACATTCAGAGTTTCAGCACTGAGTTATTTAATTTAGCGGGATTTTTTTTTTTCCTTTTAAGCACAGGGCTTTAACTGAGCTGCTTCTTGTGAGGGAAACTTTCTTCTTCTCCTCTTCCTCCTCTTCTTCACTACTACCCAATAAAAATAAACTATCAGTTTTCCTATGTGTAAATTATCATCTTGTTTTGTATGTTTTCTTCCAGATGTAAAAAAACAGGCCTTGAATGGAAGAAGATACAAACCACAACCACAGTAAGAAAGAGCCCTCCTTTTTTTCATTTAGCAATAGAAACAACGCTCTCCTCTGAGCTTGCTGCAGCGGCACGCAGGGCTTCTGGAGATGGAGTCTGCTCCTTCTCACGCTGTTACACCATCACTGAAGTGACAGCCACCGGCACAAAACCACAGAGCTTTGAACAGCCCGACTAACATCCCGCCACCTTCCAACCACTCAACTCTGGTTGAAACACTGGTTTAAAACACTGGTTTAATGGTGCAGTTCATCATTCAAACGTTTTCTAGGGTAGACAGATCCCAAATTTCTCCCTACAGACTAGGAAGTAAAATGTCAGCCCATGAAAAATAAACTAAGATCTCGTTAAAACGCTCTTCATGAGATGCACATTACATACCAATTAAACACAATGCATTTACTAAATCAGACATATATTTGCATACTTCCAGTCAGAATTAGTGGAAGACCATCTGTCAACTTGTCCCTGTCAGTCTCCCGAAAGACTCGTTCACGGTGGGAACATAACCCGTGTTCACACCACACCTGCCTCTTGAAAGTCAGCAACACTCACTTAAGTTTGTTTCCCCAATTTTCCTCTGCTATTTCTTCCTCCCACGCAAGACACAAAAATGACCTTTCATACGATGCACTTGCTAAATATCTTTATTCTTCCTTTCAATTCCCTCCCTTCCCTGACTTTAATTACACACTTCTTTACGTTAAGATAATATCTGGTGAAAAACAGATACAATAGATGAGTGGAAAAACATACAGGGAAGGGGAGGGGGGAGCTACTGCATATGCTGTTTCTTTACACTTAAACATCTCCTACAAATTATTATGGGTAATTGGAATGAGTTTTCTCTAAGCAAAATTACTTTATTCTTTTGTTGATAGCTGCAGTGCAGCTGCTTGAGAAAGGAACAAACACAATAGGGAAGTTACTTTAAAGTTAAATTGCATTTCTTGGAGGGAAAGCGAAGTTTTTATGCATTCTGTGTTTTCATGAAATTCCACAATGAAGGTTGGGGAGGAGGAAATAAGCTGTTTGTTAGCAAAAGTGACTAAAAATAACACACCTAGAGCTATGCTGTTACACCTATGAAGAATGATCTACACAAGGTAAAATAGGCATCAGGAACACCTACAGGAGAAACAGCTGAAACTCAGCGGAAGATTATGGGAGTAGGATTGCAGAAAGCCCTGAGGAAAAGCAGATACACAGAGGTCAATACTTGTTAATGTGCTTGCACATCAGCATCCAAGGGAACGCCTGATGCACTAACACCCCATTTGCCCCCCCAGCAGGGCAGCTGCCTTGCCTCCTCTCCCAACAACTGCAGCATTTTTCTGAACTTCCCATCATTTTGCCCTTCACACCAGACCTTTTGATTTTCTGCACAAGTACCTATGGCCTTTCTCAGCGACAGGGGTGTTTGGCATCATAAATGGATGGAACTCAGGATAAAAAGATGATCATGTTTTTATTGTACCATTTAGTGGTAAAGGAGTTAAACTCAATACTGATGGAGATTTAAAATAATTCTTAGCCCAAGGGCAACACAGGAACAGTGAGGAAGGCTGCATTGCCAGCTCTAAATTTGGAACAAGTCTCACTGGGATTCCCAGTAATGCGTGCTAAATTAACAGCACCTCGCTGTTCCACAGCATTTTCCATCAGAGGATTTTAAAATGCTTTGCAGCAAAGATTATTATCATAATCTCCGTCTCACAAGTCAGGAAACCAAGGCAAAGAGAAGCAAAGTAAGGTGCCTGCAGTCCCTGAGCAGGCAGCAGAAGCTCAGGCTCCTGCGCAAGGCTCCCTCTCCACCACCACCATCAGCACCTCTCCTCGTTGATCCTTCTTCATGCTCCACACAAAGCCACAGATACGCGAGCCAACTATCTCCTGGTTTTCTGAAGCTACCAGCACCACCATCTAGCAACAAGATGACGAGGCAATTCAGTGCCAAGTAGATTTCGTTACTTTTAAGCCGCTGTCTTTCTCCATAGCACAGGCTTGAGGCTCTACTCCCAAATGGCTTCTGTACTTTGTACAAGCCTCTCTTAAGGCCATTCGCCTACAAAGGCTCAGAAGCAACACATTCTCATACAAGTCTCATTCTGCCTGTTCCCTTTGCTAACACCAGTCATATTCCTTGTCTTCTGCAACTCTTAACCAAGTACTGACCTGAGGATAAAGAAAAGGAAAAAGCCAAAAGAAAAGGAAAACGCCATTTTCAATTTTTTTATTAATGGAACAGAGGGACCCTTTTGAGAGTACAGCTGGCAAGAGTATCTTTTATTGCATTAACCCATATCTATCAAGTATATCATTACAAGTTTCTAAAAGACTAAAACCTAAATTTTCTGGCAGTCAAGACAGCACACCAGCTCTCCTTGTGAATTCAGCTGGTACCTCCAGCTACCAAGTCAGAATGAAAAACATCAAACCGTTATGCTGATCCAAGCTACTTCACTGTTAAGAGAGCAGAGAACCAGCAAGTCTCACAATCAAAGCAGGAGGTGATGGGTCACCACCACTAAATCAGCAATTTATATAATGTAAGTTAGTGTGCAGAAACAGCACTGATATAAATTTCTGGAAGAAATACCTTGAAGTGTGCATACTCACAAACACCATCTATTACCATGCATTTCCACTGTCTTATGTATCCAGAGCACACCAGCCCAGGATGGTAATTCCCTCTCTCCTGTTTGCTTCACTTACCTACTTCACTTAAACTCAACTTTTAATGAAACCCATTTTCCTTGTATTTTTATGAAAGAGTTTTTAAAAGCAATCCTCAGAACCTAAAAAGGACAGTAAGTTTTAATATGAGGACTGCAGATTATGGGGCTTGCTGCGAGTTATGGCTCGTGCAGCCTTGACACAAGCTCAGAGTACCACTGCACTGAAAAAGCATAACTTGGTCACAGCAATCCGTTCTTACCTTTTTTCTTGACTCCAGGGAATCAAAACTAGCATAGCTGTCCTCTGACAACAGCCTCTGCCTGGAAGCATCATCTTGGAACCCCAGAAAGTCTTCATTGTCACTGGGGGCGTTAAAAATGTCAGCCACTTCCTTGGGTATCTGTTTCTGATTCAAAATGAGACAGAAGATAAGAGTCAGACACGCCAACTTAATAGGAAAATTCAAACTGGCAACAGTACAGCTTATTTTTATACTCCTATGCAAGTACAAATCTGTATCACAAAATATGCTACGCATAGCAAAACTGTACCTCATTTAGCTAAACTCCAGGAAATTTTGTACAGTGGTTTTAATCTCTAAATACAGACTCCAGATTTGGGGCTAGGGAGGGGATGCAATATGCAGGGTGTTTAACTCCACACAACGGTGCTTCTCAGATGTAAAAGTATGTATGTGCCTCATCTTTGCAAGATGCTCAGAGCACCCTTTATCCGTAGCGAAACCCACCACCGCTACTCCTCTTACAGAGCAATGATGGCTCAGAGGCAAGGAACACACCTTCGAATATAAAGCAATGCTAAACATGTACAAGGAAACCTTACCGTTACATCCGACAACAGGACTATAAGATATTTTACCAGACACTTACCTAACTCCAAAAATAAAACCAACGCAACTCATTCTCTTCCGTCAGTACTGCCGCAGAGCTTTCTCCACGACACTTGGTAAGACAGTGAAGAGCCATTTTAAGCGAGAACGTTCCTCGTTTGCCCATGTTGTTGCCTGCCAGGAGTGTGCCAGGAGCCAGTGCCAAGGGCAGGCAGCAGCACTTGCTGAGGTGACCAAGGTCACAACTTCAGAGTTCAAGAACTCCAGTCCCAGCATGGAAGGAGACTCGTACCACCGGAGGCAACTATTCCCGCCGGCCACATACTTCACCAAGCACTTCAGATAAACCTCTCCCTGTAACGGGCCAGTAAGGAAGCCTTCAGACAGCTCCCACCTTGGCTGCTTTAGGATTTGGTGTGTGGAAGGACAGGATGAACAAATCCAGCCTTAAAAACCAAGGCGGAAGGCGTTTTGCCAAGTTTCAGAACACGGTTTTACACTTCCCAGTATCATTTGCAAAACCATTCTGCTGTTCACAGAAATGCTTGGGGACAGAAGTGTCTGCATCGCTCACCAGCACCCGGACCTTTATCTTCCACATCCCCAGGAGCACGGGTACACACCACGCACACCACTCTTACTTGAAGCAAATCTCTCTACTGTTTGCTGTGTGCTAAAGCCGCACGTGGATTTGCCACTCCTCTCATTAGCTCTCAGGAATACGAGATCAACAGCTGCCCAGTGAGAGGGGCCAGTTCTGCATCTGAAGAAGGTCTCCAGCCCTGAACGTTCAAGAGAACATCCCCGAGATGAACTCCAGAACCAACAGCAGCCTGCCCTTGTCCGCTGTCACACACAACCAAGGCTGCTCATACAGGACCCCATATAATGATTATTTTTTTTTATTATTTTATCTTTTTTTATTATTATTTATTTGTGCCAAGGCAAACGGCCCAAAGGAGGCTCGTTCTCCCAAAATAACACCGCTGACAAAATTCCATTTCCATTGGAAGAGCAAGCAGCACCTTCACCCGAGCATCGTTCTTTGAAACAAGCTACAGTAAGGAGCATACATGGACTTAATTTTATTCTTGCTCTGCTTTTATAAAGCTGATGCAAAACTGACCTACTGTTGCTTGAGCAAGAGCAGAATTCAGCTCTGAACAACTGACCCTCACAGGCACGTAACAGCACGACCCCATGCACTGCTGCAGAAGCCGTGCTGTCTGCCTTTGAACCCCTTTGGACGTTCCCTCACCCCCACCTCCTAAAACGAACAGCCAGAATCCAGCTCCGATGCTGTGACAGAACTCACTCAGTACAGAGCAGCATTAAAAATGAAGCATTATGCATTTTAATGGAAAAACATACAAGGAGTTGTGAGGCTCACTGCTATGAATAAATTGCTTCCAGGAACCGCTGCATTAGTTCTTGTGCTATTGTACAGCTGAGCTGGCCACTGCTGTGATTACTGTATGCCTAACTAATTTCTTCTTCGTCGTCTATTACTTCTGCATCTGCACCAGAGGAGCCGTTATGGGGGTGTAATTACTGATTGTGAACAAAAAAAAAAAAAAAAAAAAAAAACCCAAAACCAACACTTTCCCAGTAGAAGACCTTTTTTGATCTTTATGCATTCCCAAATACTAAGGCACTGATTTAAGTAACTTACTGCAGAACTTCAAAGATTTTTAGTTTGTGCCTTGCTCCCCGTAGCCTGACTATGAAGAATCCCATCCAGTCATTGATGAGTCCCCATTTCACCAAAAGGGATTAGGCTACAAACAGACAATACCCAACACACACAAGGTGGGCATACCCCAGGAGCTTAAAAAGAGCACCCTCACAACCAAGCTTGCTCATCGCCAATATTTCTGCACCTGAAATCCAGTATTTCTACACCTGAAGCTTATTCCCAGCAGAAGTCCATTGCCATTTGCAGACAGACATCAAAGACAAGCTTGCACCAAACACCTCTGCTGGGATGAGTTGGTTCACCGTTATTTATTGTGTAGTCCTGGAAGCCACAGACATTTCCATTTTTAACTTTCTATTAAAATACATTCAGAAACTGATTTATAATCAGCATCAGAGCCCAGCATTTTAACTCTTTTCAACAAAGTAGCATATACCAAGAAAGAAAATATGTATTTGCCTAAACACAGATGTCAAAATATTAACGTGTTCTAAACACTTGAAAGATGCCGGCACTTCAAGAGAGGATCTTTTTGCCACTAAACCTCTAAAAAAGTCAGGAAGGCAAAGAGGCGATGAACATTTCAAGCTTGCTGAGGTTAAATATTTCAATACAAAAAAACCACAAGTTCAGATGCAATGGTCTGCTGAAATGCTGCAGAGATGTGAGAAATCCTGTTTTTTAAAGATACCAATTACAAAAAGCTAGGTACTGAAAATCTAGTAAAAGCTGGAAATAATTCACAGCTGCTGAAAAAGTGAAAGTCTCATTTCTAGTAGGAAATTTTATACCTATTGAGCTCAGTTATTTTTGCACATAAAATACACTTACTTGCTTAAAACACCCACAAGATACTTTTCATAAGCAGCAGAAAACATTCCCTGCTACAAACAGCATACAATACAACAATTCCAGAAGAGCCAACCTTATGTATAATTTTTTTCCAACAAAAGATCAAAATTCAAGATCTTCCCATCTCCCAGTTTCCCCTTCTCTAAATTTGACAAAATGCCACCGGTACACCCAGGAGCACACCCGAATTTGTCAGGCTGCACGGAGGAGAGTTACGGTCCCTGCAGAAGTGGGGGCAGGCAGCCAACATGTGCCCATCGGGGCTGGCAGGGCCTTATGTATAATTTTTTTCCAACAAAAGATCAAAATTCAAGATCTTCCCATCTCCCAGTTTCCCCTTCTCTAAATTTGACAAAATGCCACCGGTACACCCAGGAGCACACCCGAATTTGTCAGGCTGCACGGAGGAGAGTTACGGTCCCTGCAGAAGTGGGGGCAGGCAGCCAACATGTGCCCATCGGGGCTGGCAGACCTGCCACCAAGGGACAAGAGTGCCAGAGGCAGGAAACGAGGCCAGGAGGGATGTCAGACCTGGTTTGGTGACACTCCCCCACTCACCAACACAAGTGACGGGAAATGTAAGGCAACTGAGGTCCCCGCCAGTCAAAACACGATTTTACTAAGTGCCACCTCCAGGAATTCCACCTGCCACGTTAGGCAAGGAGGAAAAAAAAAAAGCCTGAGGTGAGATGTTTTACTTTCCACGTCAACAGGAAGACTTCTCATGTCTCAAATGAAAAAGCAACTTTCCTGATACCAAAACAGACGCAATTCGCCCTTCTGCAAGGCAGCACCCTGGCAGGCTGAGAGGAGAGAACGCTTGCATGCATGCACACCCTCAGCTTCGGTGGGAAGCGCCAGAGTTATTTCTACGCCACTGTCAACCATATTTCATTTTTTTAAGAGGTATTTGTACGTATCGCTTTCCTTGCCACTAGCCCATACCTCTCTGACAATGATGTATCAGGAGAACATACCATGTGAGAAAGCGGGGCTAGATGCAATTCTCTATTTTTGCTCCTACCACGAAAAAAAAAAAAAAAAAAAAAAAAAAGTTGGGCTGCTTTCCCTTCATTCAAGTTTGCACAATGTATGGACATTCCTATTCGAAGCAGAGGATGGATAATTTCGGTAATGTTCAAACTTGCTGCTTATTCATTTCAGTCAAACCAAAATAATCCCAGTTTAATCTCAAATACATACTCAAGCAAACCAAGCTTGTGCAAAGTCACACCTTCAACTCACGCTGGAAAACCTCTTGACTTGTCCCAGGCTTAGTACTCACGAAGCCCAAGGCAACCACCCAGGGGTTACAGGCACTGGATTTGGCTCGTAGACACGAAATAACAAGCGAACAGGGAAGCACTCCAAGGCTGACAATTATGGGCAGCGCTACAAGAATAGAGGGCCCCAGCCAGAATGCTGATAGGTGCCAAACCAAAAACCCAAAACTATTTACAAGTTAAGATCCTGGTCTTTCCACTGGGATCATAAAGGCGAACAGCACTGTATGAAAGCTTGATTTTAAACATCATACAAACATGTGAAAGACGTGGAAGGCAGAGAGAGGCAAAGACGTATTAGGGTGCAGAAGAATCACACAACTAGACACACGGTCAACAGGACTGCCAACACCATCCAACCAGCCCGAGGACTCAAGGGCAACGACGAAATCTAGGAAGGCAAGGAGGATCCCAGATGATCTCGGCAATTTCTCCACAGCACCAGAGCACAAAAAGCTGAAACCTTCTGGGTGATGAAATACATTCCTGGCCCAGGTGGCACCAGGGTGAAAGGCAAGCGAGCGTTCAGAGAAAAGAAGGAAAAAGTGATAAAATGAGCAGTCAACACACAGTTTTACAATCTTTGCAGGGATACTTTGATTCCACTGAAGGTGAAGATGGATTATGCCCGAGCCTGTATATCTGTCACAGCAACAACTCCTGGGATTTTCAGGGTGGTTTCCCCTACCCCCACAAAAAGTTATGGTAACTATCACACAGTCAACCTACTGCTAAACCCAAGGACTCCATGAAATTATAGTCAATTCAGCTATTTTCAGAATGGTAGAGTATGGTTTCTACATTGTTTTATTTAAACTGATAATCAAATAAGCTAAACCCCATCAACCTACTTTACCCAAAATTAAAGAACACTCAACTATCATAATCACGTGGTGAGTCATTTCAAATGTTACCTTCCATAGGCAACATCTACCTGGAAACTATCCTTCAGTTTTCAGAAAAGCTGGTAATAACGTGAATACCAGCATGCTGCCATACAAACAGTCCAAACGCTCTGTCAACTGCTACTATCTCTTCTTTTGTGATAGCTAATCTGTCATTGGTCCAAACAGTAGAAACAGCTATTTCTGAATTAATTCTGCATAATTCAAGAGCATCCCTTTTATCTGTGGTGGTGCCTAATTACTTTCCGAGCCCTGGCGTTCCAAGCAAGACATTTTTATACGACGCCACAGGAATGCAACGCGTCCCCTCTTCACATCTGGAATGCTAGCATCCAGGCTTTTGGGGTGCAAAAGCTTTGTCAGCCAGCACCTCTCTAACAAGCTCCGTGTACTGAAACTGCGGTGCAAGGACCTGTTAAATTAGACCCTGGGATGGGAAACGGAACCGCAGGTCTTGCGATTCGGAACAGTTTTGTACCACTGACTTCCTTGGCAATCACTTTCGATGGGGGCACATACTCACTTAAAAGCTAATTTACTAGTCAGCAGACAACCCGTGACTTCAGAGACAGGGAAACCTTCGCCACCACATCCTCCTGGCTCTGCCAGGGCTGAACCCACCGCTCCCAGTGTGTCACAAAGAGGAGCAAGCGCCAGCAGAAGGCCTTGCTCTGCCAAAAACAAGCTCCCATGAGAAACAGGAGAGCACTGGGAACGGGCTGCGTCCTTCTCCTGTTGGCTGAGCCTTAAAAGAAACACGATGGACACCCTTTTAGCTGTGCAGTATAAAGATAACTCGTGGAAAGTAAGAACCCCCCCTTACAGGCGCAGAGGTGAGAAATAAGTGCCATTCGCTACTATTGTATCGTGTCAATCGGGCTTCTCCCAAACTGTTTTACAGTGCCCTTATCTCCACCCTGCGAATGGAGAGTCAGAGGTGGAAGGTTTACAAAGTCCCTTGAGAGGACGGAGGTCCTAACAAACAAGTTTCAGTGGTTCTGCAACCCTCCTTGTTCCACAGAAACCCATGTAACCTCCCGAACCTTCCATCGGCAAGAGCTGACTGGGAGATGATGCTGACTTTCTCCTCCCTTCCCTCCCTCCCGCCACCGGGGAGACTCACCGTTCCACCTTGCGATACCTGACCCACGCGAGCAGCCTGATGCATCCAAGCGCGCCGGGCTTGGACCCAGGCCACCATCGGGTTGACGGTCGATCAAAGCACGCCTGCATTTGTCCCTAAGCCCTCCAGCCTTATAAATACTCACATGCATTCAGGTGACTCGAATGTGTGTGTTTGTGGCATCGAGGCATTTCAACAACAACAAACAAAAGAGAGAACAGAAGTTGTTTTTTTTTTTTTAAAAAGGGCTATTTCAAAAGTGACATCCCCAGGCTTACAGGGACTAATTGATTAACAAAGCTCCTCCCCAACGAGCTACGCGCAGCCCCTCGGCCTTCATTAGGGCGGCTGCGGCACCCCGCGCCGCTGGAGCTTCCCCACGCCGGTGCCGGGCGCCTCGGGGCCGCCCCAAAGGCGGTTTCCACCCCCTC